TCCTTCTTTGACAAAGAGCTAATAAACAGCAGACTTGAGTGTTACTTGAGCAAAAGCAAAGTGCAGGTGATCTTTCTAAATGCATCCAGTTCTGCAGGAATTCTCTTCAGGACCCCTGCAGTTGTGTAGCTTGAGTTGTGACCTTCCTCTGACCTTATCATATTCCTGTTGCTGAAGCTAAATGTGAAAAATCAGGGTTGTCCAGTTAATTGCCCAGTAAGTGTAGCAGGGTTTATACTGTCATGGTTTTATTCATGGTTGGGTGTGGTTGCAAATAAAAGAAGCAAGAAAAATAAGATCTATGATGGGACAACTTAACAGTGACTGAAAGGTGTTATCCTGCAGTTTACATCTGTTTAGTCATTATTTGGATGGCTTACCTGAGATACTACAAAAATGTTAGGGGAAAAAGGCTGTAACTGTATTTTTTATATTTTATATTTTTATATTAAAAAATATTTGTATTTTTTAACTCACAGTTCTTACAATTGCTATAGTCTTGCTACAAAAATAAAGGCTGATTATTTATTTTTCAGATCAGCTAAAGTGTTAATGAGTGCTGACAGCAGTGAAGAAGATCTAGATGACATTATTGATGAAATCTGTAATGACAGCAGCTTTACCAAAACACCTCCGGTGAGTAGGGGTTTGCAGAAATTCAGAGCAAGTCAGGTTCAACGATGGAAGTGAAAGCACCATAAGCTAAAACTTTTAAAGCAAAACATGAATGAAAACAAGCTGTAGAATAAACTTGGAAAATAAAACAAAAAGGAAAATGCGGTAATCCTGTGAGGAACAGGAGAGATGCACTTACCTAGGCAATAACAGGAAATTAAAAGACATGCTAGCTCAGAACAGAGCACAGTGTCAATGCTCAGAATCACAGAATGGTCACAGTTAGGAGAGGGACCTCTGGAGATCATCTGGTCCAACCACCTGCTTAAGCAGGACTGCCTAGAGCCAGTTGCCCAGGACTGTGTCCAAATGGCTTTCAGTTATCCCTGAGGATGTAGACTGCAGCCTCTCTAAGTAGCCTGTTCCAGTGTTTGACTGCCCTCACAAGTCATAAAGATTTTTTGTATGTTTGAGTGGAAATTCTTGTACTTCAGTTTTACACCCATTGCCTCTCCTGTCAGTGATCCCACTGAGAGGACTCTGACTACATCTTCTTTATTTCTCCCTGACACACCTCCATAAGGTTCTCCTGACCATTGTTTTCTCCAAGCTAAACAATTCGAACTCTCTTAGCTGATACCTGGTTGTCAGGTGGTCTAAATCCTTAATTACCTTCATGGTCCTTTCCTGGGCCCACTCCATTATGTCCATGCCTCTTTTGTATGGGGCATAGTGCTCCAGACGTGTCTGTGAGGTCCAGTCTGGAGTAATGTAACCTGTTCTGGTCTCTCAAATACAGGAGAGAGATGGAGCTACTGGAGAACCTCCAGCAAAGGCCCATGGAGATGGTTAAGGGACTGAAATGCCTGTCATATGAGGAGCAGCTGAGAGAGCTGGGACTGTTCAGTCTGGAGAAGAGAAGGTTCCAGGGAGACCTTATCAATGTGTGTAAATAGCTGTGGGTGTAGTAAAGGAGGGGCCAGACTCTCCTCCATAGTGCCCAGTGACAGGACAAGAGGCAATGAGCATGCACTGAAACACACAAAATACCAGCAGTACACAAGAAAACACTTTTCTTCCTGTGAGGGTGGTTAAACACAGGGACAATCTTCACAGAGAGGTTGTGGAGTCTCGGTCTGTGGAGGTGTTCAAAATGCAGCTGGACACAGTCCTTGGCAAGCTGCTGAAACTGACCCTGTTTTGAGCAGGGGAAGGTCCCTTCCAGCTGAAATGATTCTTGATTCTGTCTCATCAGTGCTGAGTAGAGAGGAAGGATCACCTCCCTGGGCATGCTGGCAGCACCCCTCCTAATGCATCCCAAGATACTGTTGGCCCTCTGTGCTGCAAGGGTGCGTTGCTGGCTCATGGTCAGCTTGATCTTGACTGAACCTCCCACAGCCCTCTCTGCAAAGCTGCTTTCTGCCTGGCCAGCCCACATGGTGTTCTGTGCATAAGGATTATGCCTCCCTTGGGGTGAGAGTTTGCATTTCACCTTAGCTGAACTTGAAGAGAATCTTCTCAGCCCGTTTCTGGAAGTCCTTTGAGGTCCCTCTTAATGACAGCTCAGTCATCTAATACACCAACAACTGCTCCCCATTTTGTATCCTCTGCAAATGTCTTCTCACTTCACAGCAGGAGATGGAGATGAAGCTGCAAATTTACATTCTCAAGACAGTTACAGTGATAGAAGGCATTGAAAATAGATATTCATTTGAGTATCAGCAGTAGAAAATGGTGTTACTTATACTTCATAACCTCCTGCAGATTCCCTAATCTTCATGAGTGACTGATTTTGTTTTGTTTGTCTTTGATTTTTTACAGTGGCTAAATCTAAAGCAACAAAAATACTTCTGTACCTCTTAAGGAGAGAGAATTATGCCAGTAAATTTGTATAATTTTATCATTTTATATCCCTAGAACTTCCCATTTAGGATCTAGAGTTCTCATATTCTAGAATTCAAATAAACTCTTCTGTGTGCAGCAAATAAGAAACCTTTCAAAGAAGACTGTATCTTTTAGAATAATCTAAGTTCTTGATGTATTTTAATGAAACAAAAGCTAAAAAACATCTAGGAAGAGGGTTCCAAATTATAACTGGTTTTAAAAGCAAAATTAGTAAAAGGAGGGCATGAAATACTAAGTCTTGATTGTAAAGTCTTAGTGATCATGTGGTGTAGAATCCCTTCACCCAGAGCTGGAAATTCAGTGTGGGAAGAGAAACCTTGTTCCTCATTTACCTGTTACTTCAGAGCCTCACAAACTTGAGAGAAAATTCCCAAAGTCTTAGTCCCCTTCTTCTGTGACTGAGATTTTCTGGCTCCTGCTTATTAAGTAAAACAGAATATTGTGACTTTGCTGTAATGCTGCATTTTATTCTTTGGTTGTTTTTAAACAGAAATTGAAGTCTAATTCTGCAAGTCTCACACCTGAAAGAAATAGTGTTGTTGTTGTACAGGCACGTGGGAAAAGGTAGGTGAAAAATGTTCTGGCTTGTTGGACATTGCTTGATTATAACTTCTTATCAGGCTGACAATACTGCTGCTGTTTAATCTGTGTTGGCATTTCTTAAGAAAGACACTGAGAAGAGAGACAGTCTTCTTAAAGAAAAAACAAAGATAAGCAGGTAATTTCAAAGAATTATGTTAATGTGTTTTCATGTGGTCCAAATAATTTATTATAAATTGATTAATTATTTAAGCTGTTGAACAACATCTTCCTTTGCCTTATGGACATATACATTTATCAAATGCAGCAATGTAGATCTTTGTATATTCGGAATAGAGAGTGTATTTTGTAGAGTTTTTCTTTGAATACTTTGATAATGAAAATTTTAAAATTCTGTAGTTTACAAGCATTTGGATGCTTTGCTTATATTTAATTTTTTTTTTTTTAATAAATACCATGCTGTTAAACTAGGAGAAATATTGTACTGCTTTCTCCAACCTGTTCAATATTTTTTAATGAATCCATATAGATGCTGTCCAGTGTACCTGGGTGGAAGCCTTTCACCATCTGGGATAGGAACAAATATTTCAAAAAGGTAGGAAACCTGAAAAATATGTGCTACTTGCTTTATCATTATTTTTATTCACAGCTGTGTTTCTGTGGTGGTACAAAATTCTGCATTTGAACTGGGCAGGACAGCCTTACAGCCATCTAAGGAAGTGGCTGCCTGTAACTGCACTTGAAATCAGCTGGTCCCTTCCAGTCCTCTGTTGTTGACCACTGGCCTTTTGTTTGTTTGAAGTGGTGAAAAATGCTTGCAAATGAGAAATGAAACCAAGAATCAGTAACAACTAGTTAAGGAAATTGCTGCTGTGTTATTTTCCCTGCCTCTCTTTATCTTTCTGTGTGATGCCAAGTACATGACTTAAATCAATGGTTGGGCTGGTTGAAATCTCCCAGAACCTGAACTGAAAATGGTCAGAGTACTTTGCAATTGCAGCTGAAATTAGCAGAAGAGATGCTTTGATGATTTATCCACAGCATCCTTTAGAACAATACAATGCATTTCCATGTGGCATTTTTTGTAGTAATTGTGAACTCAACACATATTTGTATGCTGTGCAGGTGTTATATCAGTGAGGAAGACTAAGGAGAATATATCAAATGAATACCAGTTTATTTTATGTGTTCAGTGACGATAGGAACCTGTAAAAATAATACATGAACATATAATTAAATCACATACCATAATTCTGAACATGCCAGAGATGTAAAGGCATTAAGATTAGGTGACATTGCTGCTAGTGTTTCTGAGTGCTGTACTTTGGCCCATTTATGGTGGATGTATATTGTGTCAGCTTCTCTGATTGTTCTCTGTCCAGGGCGTGTGATCAGCTGCGCTGCACTGCTTGTGACTTCCGCGTGTCACTTTTCAATGACTACGTCTGGGATCAGTCCTGTGATTATCTTTTTTTCAGGTGTGTCTGGGCTGGGTATTGGTGTTGTGCTACCATGCTTGGGAGCTCAATAAGAACAGGAAAGATGAAAAGCCCTTAGCACTGCATGCTACCTGTTTGGGATCAGGTGGGACAGTCTGTGGGGAGGGGGAAGCAACGTCTCCCAAAATCTGTTTTTGTCCATTTCTATCTCTTCTCCTATGACACTCCCTCTGCTTTTAAAAAGAATTCAAGTTTCATGGATGAAAAGGCCAGCTTATTGCTGAAATAAGCAGGTAATCCATGTGATGGGTTGGACTCTGCCAACCAGTGCAGGGTATCTACAATGTCAGCAACATGAATACAGACTGTTCAGCATGTGCTTTGCAGCTCACCTTCACTCATACAGACTGTGATGGTTTCAAGGCAGATGTTCTTTTTTCCACTATCAGGTGTGCTGTCACGTTCAGTGAAAATCAAATAGCTTTATTTCTTAACAGATTTCTTTATTGAAGCAAAGTTTGGTTAAATGGAGAGGTGGATTTTTGTTTTCTGCTTGTATTGTGATGTTTTTAATTCTTTAAATAGTTTTTGAAGACTTTAAAGTAAGGAGTTCTTATTTCCTGTTTCTCTAAAGCTTATGCCAAGACTTAGTGAAAGATAGTGTAGTAGGCATGTTCCTAATAGATATCAGATTTGGTTTCCTCTTAGTACAGCCTCTGTGTGAGCCTGGTAACTGATGGAAGAGGTGGATGTGTTCAGAGTATGTGCTTGGAGAGTGATGTGACAGTCAGAGAAGAACATTAATGGAGATACCAGCTCCTTTTCCATTATTTTTCCTGTGTTACATCTTTGGTTATTCCAGTATTTTTTGTCCAGTCTCAAAATTTGTATTTCTTATTGAATATCATTATTTTTCCCATTATTTAAAGCAGTTTTAAAAATACCATACTGCACTAGTCTTCCTAAGATTAGTTTGGTAGTGGAAAAGGTTTAAACAAAAGTGGGATTCTTTTATTTACCCAAAGTCAAAATTATTTTGCTTCTCAGATCTTGAAATTAATAAATGAAACAAAAGAAGAAAATCCCATCAGTATCAGGTACCTGTAACATTGATTAAAATCTGTAATCTGTAGCAAGAGATTTAACTGTTAATTTTGACAAACCTGAATTTTAGAAAGCAAACCTTAAGGTTAAACATTTTCCATCTATCAATAGGTGTCTGATCTCTTTTTCTAAAAATTCTTCCCTTGATACTTGTTTTGAATTTTCTTTATTTAATTGGGCTTGTTAATGTTGTTTTTGAGCAATTCAGTGTCCAGTGGCCAGGAGGAGGTCATAAGAGCAGAGATAGCTAAAATGCTACATTTTAATGGTTTTTTTTGAAACAACTTGTTCTTGTCATAGCATGCTGATTTTTCATTTGTTATGGTTAATGGCTGCACAGGAATTATTTGTGGTTTGATGTACATTCTACCCTTTTATGGCCATTTCATTTCAGTCACTTTAGCAATCACCTTGAGTAGTAGTTCCTGATGAAAAATTTAACTACATCATTTCACCCATTATGCATAGCAATTTTTACAGTAAGTTTGATAAGATAAATACATTTTTGGGTGATTTTTTTAACACAAGAATTAGCTCTGCTTGGTTTTCCTCACAGTTCTTTCTCTGGAGGCTGACTGGAAATATCTAAACCCAACAGATAACATTGTTTATAAAAACATCAGTCTGTAGTTTATCTGAGAACACAGAAATTACACAGCTCAGGAAAGGAGTGTTCAAAACAGAATTCAAACATATCCCTAAATTAATCCATGACAGCAGTACTCAGAATTGTCAAGATGTCTTCTGATTTGAAATGGCCTCATGAATATTTTTTCTTTAAAAAAAACCAAAACAGCCCAGCATGATCCTAAGATGAATTCACTTCTTTGGCAGGAATAACATGCCTGAGCTCAGTAAACTAAGAGCAAAGATGATAAAGAAGAAAGGAGCACGTGCATATGCTTGTCAGTGCAGCTGGAGATCCATTGATGAATTAACTGACCTTCAAACAGAGCAGCAGCTTCGGTGGGTTTGTGGTAAACATGGAGAATGAAGTCTTCTTGTGTAGGATACCTACTTGTGTGGAAATGGCTCTTAAAATCAATTTGTTTCCTATGCAGTTCTCTGAGAACAGATGGAAAATTGAATACTTAGATCTAGAAATATATTGTAACACCCAGATTTCAACCTGAAAACTTTTTTTTTAAAATTTAACTGTCTTACAAGCAGTGTGGGGAGTTGGATTGTTAGGAGAAATAACCAAAACTTGGAGGCTTTCTGGAAGCTAAATGAGGTTAAAGTTCATACTCAGTAGTGTTAAAGAAAAGCAGGGGAAATAACAGACCTGGGCATGGGCAAAGCATCTTGAGACTCTTCCTCACATCTAGCAGAGAGCCTTTTTTCCCATGTCTGCAGAATCCTGGACTCAAAATGATGGGTTGGGAAACAACCATGACACACAAGCATATGAACTTCTGCACAGAAGTGAATCCTGCTCTTCTGCTTTGCTCATAGTTGTTAATGAGCAAATGGTTGTTTATCTCTTAAAAAAATTACTATGGGATCAGCTCTCATCTTAAAGGTTTCAGCACACCCCAAAATTTTACTTACTTTTACCCACCAGTAGCCAAAACTGCAGGTGCTGAATATTTTCTTCCAGTTCCTACTGCTTTCTTCAGAGCACTTTCTGCTGACTAAGGACTTCTACCACAATGAATTTCTTGAACTTCTCTTCAGCCCTCACTGCACAAGAGATGAAAAAATTATTGTGCAATTATTAAATGTGCAATTTTAAAATATACAATTTTAAAGATATTCTGAAGTGTATGTTAATCTTTTATCAGTTTTTTTCAGTGGAAGAATGCTCAAGCTTTTAAGAGTGAGAAAATATATATCCCCACTGATGTTCAAGTTCAGATTTTTTTTCAGTTTCACTTACCTTTCACTTCAGCTTCTCTTGAAAAATATTTGTATTTAGATAGTGCAACTGTCCTGTTTCAACACACTCCCCTCAGTAACATTGCTTGGTGAGTTGTCTTGCTTACAATCAGCCACTATCAATATAGTTCATGAGCTTTTCCTTTTCATTATGTATAAATAACACAGAGGATAGATTTGAGTTTTATGCAGGGGGAGAGGGAGGAAGGATTAACCAGTCCTGTCATTTACTACATTGAAAAGTGTCTCAATATGGGAAGTCTGTATGTGTTTTTGCTCTGCAGTATGTGTATCTGTACAGATAAATTCAGAAATACTTACTTTGGGCAATTCTAGCTGTACAGAGCCATTTCCCTTTCTCTGAAGTTTTGCTCATGGTTCTAATCTGTGTATTTGTTCTGTTTCTGAGCCTTTCCAAAACAATTGTATGGTCCTACAGAGGTGATTCCTGTGTCTGTCACCCTCTGGAAGAGCAGATCTCAGTAGGGGTCAGAGGCATCATGCACTCTGCACCCTGCTCACCTTGTCCTTCCATGGGTGCTTGTTTCAGAGCCTGCAGAGGCCCAGCAGTGTGCCTGGGAAGTCTGGCAGTGCTTCCTCAGTGCTCCAGACTGCTCCTTCCAGTGCCCATGCAGCCTTGCTGGAGAGTCAGAGGTGACTTGTCTTTGGAGAGGTACTACTTGACATGATGGTGCAGACATATTTAGGGTCGTATTGTTTTCAGTGAATTTAGTATTTTAGGCTGAAGTTTCAACTGCTAGAGTCCAAAACTGGAGTTTCAGGACCAGAGACCAGTTGACTACTGCTCAGTCAGCTCCTAAAAGAGCTCTGCTTGCCTTTCTGTCCTTTGTGAAGATGCAGCCCTGGTCTGGGCTGTACACTGTGAGTGTTCCAGGGTGTTCTTCAGGTGAGCCTAAGCAACTTTCATGCCTGGAGAACATCAGTGCTAAGAATAAGAGAAGAACCCAGAGGCAGGTAGCAAGCTCTGGGGAAGAAGGAACCTGCTTTCCATTCTTCTCAAAGAATGCATTTCAGAAAGTGCTGAGTTGCCTTGGCTTTTCTGTTCCAAGGCTATTTGAAACTTATGACCAAGTAGTTCCACAGGGTGTCTTGACTAGAATTGTACTGGAACTTGTGCCACAGTGTAGAAACAAGCTGGGCTTGCAACCTGTGAGCCAAAAATGGGGGAAATCCTAATTCCCATCTCAGTTCATGAGACCAAGTTTTATGTGACTAGGAAAGGGAGCTTGTCTCCTATATGCTGAACATTCCCCTGAAATAATCAGGTTTATTCAAGTGTAATTAACTTGTTTCTGGCCTTGGTCAGAGTGGTGGGATATGACAGCTTTTTGTCCAAGGGAAGTTGTAAACAGGTACAGAATAGTACTTCTGGTGCAGGTTTTCAGAATTTATCATATTTGTAAATTTGAGAATAATTGCTGCATCATTAAGTACAATTATTTTATTGGAAGGAGGAGCAGTATTAAGATTTGTTTTTGTTTCCTTTGCTTTCTTCAGTTACATGTTACAAACCACTCCAAAGTCCTCAGATGAAAAGAACGTAAAGAAAGGTAAAACTAGAGCTTGAATGTAGATTTGATGAAGGTATTGTCAGATTGTACAAGGTCCTCAAGATGTAGCCCAGACCCTAATTGATATTTCTGTGTCAGTTATCTGAGATAGCAGGGATTATGTAGAGAATTCTGTTTAAGAATGCAATTCAGCTGTTGTCAAATGGAAGTACTGGAGAACAGTGTTGCTAAGTATAAACATGACCACTGTTTTCCTCCAATTTTTTGCTTTGGAATAATACCATTTCCATTTGTGAAATGGGCAAGATGAAAATTTAAGACTTTTATTTTGCTTACTGATATGCTTGGAAATTTTCTAGCCTGTCCCATTAGTCTGCAACAGATCCCTCAAAAAAACAAAAGCAATGAAGGATGACAAAATGAGATTCCATCAAATTTTAATATGCTGCTCTGACTTACCTTTCACTTGTTTTACCTGCAAACTATAGAGGGTGAATATAGCTCAGAAGAGTCATTACTAAGAATTGACCTGCCATTAAAATTCACTTACAGAAGCATAATAACATTACATATTGCAAGCTCTGCACTGTATTATATCAAATAAAGATTTTTTTTGTCCAAACCTATTTTAGTTTTGTACTGAAGATATTCTGCAAATGCTGCCACTTGCTGAAAGACTGCCACTGCTCTTGTTTCCTGACTTGTGAGTCTTTGGGTCATGTAACCAGCACATTGGTAGTCACACAATACAAGAAGTGCTATGTTGGGAGCTGTGTACACAAATTTTTCTTCCTGCCAGGCTCTTTTTTCAAAAGACCTGACATTCTGTCTGTAGTGTGACACCTGATAACTGCAGGCAGGTGGAGTAAAGGGACATCAGGTGCTGCTCATTTGTGAGGGCTACATCTGATGCCTAGGGTTTGGCTTGTGTGCTTTGAGAAAGTTTTTCAAATGGCAGCACTTAATAAAATGAAAAGTTGGAACTAATCTGAATCGTGTGTTGTGTGAGTTCTTGTGTACTGTTTCTATCCAAGACAAGCCTTATAAAAATGATGGTTTTTGTCAGAAGTGTTATGACATGGCCTTAGTTCGAAAGCATTGTCCAGCTCATAAGAAGCAATAAGTACTGTTGTGTGTGTTCTCTCACATCAGTGGGGGTGCAGCAAATAGAGGAGAATTAAAGAAACTTTAACATTCTTTACTAGCTAACACAAGGAGAGCACATGAAATTATAGAAAGGTCATAAAGGTGAATGCATTTGCCACATTTCTTTGATGTTTACCAAGGATAAAAGATGGAGGCAGGTGCTGTGCAGGGGGGCAGGGAGCTAAACAACATGCAGAGTGGGGTGCTGGTAGCCTGGTGTATCAGTCATGCATTTGCTGTGGTCCACATGCCCCAGGTCTTGCTGTAGGAAACCCTTCTTAGTCCCAGGGAGGAGCTGCTCTGCATGTGGAAGTTGGAACTTGTTTCTCCACCATCCAGAAATGCCGTGTGGCTTACATTAGAGTAACAAACATAAATACTTCCTGTACCTCATTCTGAATTTGGATTCCAGGCATGGGTGCTGTTCAGGCAATAATTATTTCCCCAACTTAATTGGCAGTGTGGACACAGTGAGGATACTCAGTCACTGCCTCAGGAGTACTCCTGACTTATTTAGGACTTGCAGCATCACAGTGATGTTCATGTGTGTTTCATTCACTTCGATAACTTCTTCCTCTGTTGAGTTAGAAGTACGTGATCAGGGTTAATATGTGATTATTCAATCCAGTCTGCAGAGGGCAGAGCAGCACCGCTGAGAGTTACAGTTCAGGCTTCTGCTTCACTTGTTTATACTCCTATTTTTTTTTGTAATAGTGGTTTACATTGAACAGACTAGCTTGCATTTGTCTCCTACTAGTGTCATTGTAAGTGGGATAGCCAGATCTGTTGGAATTCCAATTGATTTTTGTATGAATTCATCCAAATGGTCTTCAAGTGGTCCTTGACCAATACTGAAGTAGATTAAATTTTTTAACTGGCATGTAAAGAAACATAAAAAAACTCTCTGTGTATCTATACATAGGTATATTTGTGTATGTTTATCCTCTAATAACATCAGTAGAAAACCTGAAGTCCCTCGTGATTTTTTCACCCTGCCCTAATTAATTTTCCCTGAAAATGTTAAATAATTTTGGCAAGTAGAGGTTGCATGTTAGGATCTTCTAATATTCAATATAAAATTTATATAACACATCACCCAAGGTGACAGCTCTTTAAAAGGAAATAGTAAAAGTCCAAAATTTAGAAATGCAAAAGAAAAAAAGTTGGTTCTCTCTATGTAGGAAAGCAATGTAAACCAGAAATGCTGCAGAGCAGTCTGAGATACAGCATGAGAATCATCCAAAGACCTGCATCCTGCAGTCCATCATCCCTGGGCCACTGCTGAGGTTAGTGAAGTCTCACTCTGAACTCTCTTCTGGTTCTTTGGGAGTCCAGAAAGTAAGTGTACAAAGCAGATTTAAAGTGCATGGAAGTAAACATTATTTCCAATGAGCAATGAAGTTGTGTCTGGTTCTGCAGAAGTGACAAGGTGCTTTTAACTAGAAGCACAAACATACCTAAACCATGAAACTAAAGTTTAATTATTTTACTCTTAAAATAGGCAGTATGATCTAAATTTAGCCTAGTTACACCATAGGTGAGTGACCTCTGTGACACTTCCTTCTTTACTTACTGGGTTTCTTCTAATAGGAGAAATAATTGAATTAAAAGTTTAATAGAGCAGAAAGGAACAAGCAAGGCTGAGTAGCACACTGTGAGAGGTTTCATATATATTTTGATAAAACATGTTTTCAGATAAGAAATATGCCATTGTTTTTTGTTTGATTCTAAACTAAAGACACACATAAGTGAAAGAAATAAAAATACCATGCTGCAGGGAGAAGTTCAGTTTTGTCCATTTGCCAAAAGCAAGGACAAAACTTCACAAGGGAGGTTTCTAGGAATCTTTTATGATTGCAATTCCACAGGCTGGCCCTGAAGATGGGGGTGAATCCACCCGCCCACCAATTCCCTTTTTCAGGGTTTCCTGTAGCATTTTGAAACCTGTTTCCTGTTGTTAAGCTTTAGAGATAATAGCTAACATAGATATTATGTTTAGATATAAGAGCTAAGATATTCAGGGTTTGTAAAACCCTCTTAGACAGTGGTTAAAAGGTGTTATTCAAATATAAGCAAAAGATATTGAAGTTTTTTAAGAGAGTTTAGTGAAACTGAAACCCTTGCAGCTTCAGAACTTTTTGCTAAAGAACTGAGAGGCAAAGAGGAGGAAAGGCATTTTCACAGCTGTCAAACCAGCACATAATATTCTAGCTCCTTAGTACTGTAAATTCCTCTGCTTAGAAAATGTGATTGCCTGCAAAGGGGAAAAAATGTTCACTCTTGAATGGTGATTGGATATTTATGATGTATCCACAGAATTTTTGAATCTCTGTTTAAAGGCGAGCCATATTGCCTCACTCTAAAACATTGCAGTAGATGTGATAGTGAGCACACACCTTCCAGCTAGGAGCTTTGGGATAGTCAGCAGTCTGAGTGTGCTTGGAATTCCGTGTCCTGACTGCCGTGATGTAAACAGCATTCACAGGAAGGGGGAAGCAGTTACCAGAGACAGGAAGGCTGAATTTAGCATCAAACTCCTTATCTAGGCAGAGCGGGCTGCTCAGGATGCTGATAAGAAAAAGTGTATAGATTGCTCCAGCAGCCTGTGATTGCTGCCTGGCCCTTCCTGGGAAGACCATTCTCATCAGTGTAATCAGAGTACAATCTTACACCTGCAGATGGGTTTAGGAAGGGATTATATCTGGGGGCCACTTGTCCAAAATAATGCTTTGTGTACTGCAGTCTCACTCAGTCTGGCTTACTTGCACTTGAAGGAAGAGATCTGCACGCTGAAGTAGGAGGATGTGTGTCTTTAAAAATAAAAACTTTGCCATAGTAAGAGTTATTATTAGTCTTACTAGCCATAAAGGAATATAAGCCTTTCCTGAATCTGAACATGCACTGCAATATCTGGTTTAATTTCTAGATTACAAATTTTATATCAGTGCTGGCACAGCTCTGGTCCCACCTCTTCAGAGATAAAAGCTGTTGCTGCATTGTCTTAAGTGCTTTGGATCAGTGAGCAGTCTTGTTTACAAGTGGCAGATACACGACTTCAAAACACTATTTGCAGTGTAATTAGTTGCTTGTTAACATACAATGTAATTTTTTCTTTTGATTTATGTGTGTGTATATTTTGGGAAATCCATCTGCTCTGGGTCTACAGCACAGCAAAGCACCATTCCATCAATATGTGCTCCTCAGTAGCTGAAGTGACACAAAATCTAGGCTCCTCCACAGTGATTTTTCTATGAATGATGACTCATTTCTCATGTCTTCCCCCAAGTATACTGAGAAGTTATTTGGCTAAGATTGAGACCTTGGGGCAGTTTAAAGCAGTCTTTTAGTTGCATCTTCACACACGTGTCTGAAATATCTTTCCCTTTCCCTTTCCCCATCCTCTTTGCTAGATTTATATTTATTTCTATTCTAGTGAGGAAGGCTAGAAACAAACTATGAAAAAGGAGAGTGGTATAAAAGAGTCTACCCGTGTCCTTGAACAGCAACAAAGCAATCTGTCCTGGGTCATTGCAAAGATGACATTCTGGACCTGAATGGCTAAAATAATTCAAGTCAAGAGGATATTGGGGTCTATCTGTTCTGCTCACTGAATGTGGGTACCCCACATCTCCTGAGCACAGGAGGACGTGGTGACACAGCTGTCAGCAGTCTTAGCACCAGAGTATCCAGCCAGGTGCTCCACACCAGGCTTGCTAGGGTAAGCTAAAATCTTTAATCATTCTAGTTTTGCAAAGAGTTTTATCTCTGTGGTATGCTGCAAATCCTTCCTCAAACCTGGAGAATATTACTTCTTTATAAAATATATGTTTGTAAACTGGATAATTTCCAGATGTCAAATCAGTTGGCAGACTTTGCAATAACAGGCCCCTACTCCAGGTTCTCAACCAGTGCTGGGCATGTGGTTACCTTGGGTGTTTTCAGGATCCATCATAAGGCAAATGACATCTTTAAGTGGGGGAAAAACAAACAGCCTAATGGGCACCTCGTGGCAGAGAGCACCTCCTCAGGTTTGTCCCAACCCATTCTCACGTCCTTGTTCAATAGAGTAACAGGCCATAAAAGAATGAAGCAGCTACTTTCCTCTGCTGTCAGATGTTGCAGGTTACTTGTATTTCCTGTCCTGCTATTTAAAGGACTAAGGGCTGAAAACGAGAGTTCGTTAACTTGTCTGGAATTAAATATTTTTCTTTTTCTACAGCCATGTTCAAATGCATGATAGTAACATAGGGCTGGAAGGCATCACCTTCTGCCTTGAGACAGGACTACCCCTTCGGGAAGCTCAGGATAAACCCAGGTGCAGGTTGCCACCAGAAATGCCCCTCCCATTTGCAGGGGAGCTGGCTACAGGGTACATCAAAGAAAGTGACACCCACGTGTTCCATGCCAGCTGCCCAGTGGGTCCCAGGAGGAAGGGAAGGATCACCCTTCTCCCCCTGCCAACTGATGGGTTGGGCTGTGTCTTAGCCAAGAAGAGAAACACGTGGGAGAGCCCGGGAGATCTGTAATAAGCTAACATCACAGTGGGCTTAGGCACTTGGTGGTATTTTTGACAGTCTTGCTTTAACTGAGCATATTCACTGTTCAAACATTTTAAAGTAAAACATTGCTTCCCACACTTTTTTTTTGCTCCAGTTGGCTGTTGTTTTCTTTACGGACTTAAAACTATGCTTATTCATACTCCAGAAAAAATCCTTATCTCTCTCTGAATGCCCTAGGAAAAGCTTAGGGCATGCTTGCAAAGCAAACTTTGAGGAAGTAAATTTAGTTTCTCAATAAATCTAGCCATTCAACTGTTGTGTTTGACAGCCATCCTTCTAAAT